TCCGATAGTTAATATGACCATGTGAAGTTTTGTCTGTGATATTTTGCAAAACTGATTACGTAATTTCATGCAAAAAAATATCATGCCAAAAAAATTCACATCATCATATGAAATGTTGGATAACGGACAATACCGATCGTTATTAAATGCTAATAAAACACCAATAACTTTCATATCTGGTAGTAAATTTTAATATACCAGTTCCAGGGTCCCTTCGGGACCCAGAATCTGACATATTAAATTTCACAGCCATATAATGAAATTATTTTACAAATAATTTCCGTTATTGGCTGCTTCGCATCCAATAGCTATATACGTAGTATTTAACACAAGGATTCATAAAGATATTGTAAAGCAAGATGAGTGCTTATAATAATTTATTTAATTTTTTTACAATAAATGTATATTACTACACACATGTGACACTGTATTAATTGCCGGTCTTTGATAGGTAGATTGAGGTTAACAATAGTTAAGGTCGCTAAAATTCAAAAATAAATGTCATTATATTAAATCATTTGAATATTATATTAAATTATTAAATTATAATTAATTACTTCTATTTCACATTATTTATTAAATACTTGGAATTAAATTTCAAATAAGTAATGCTAAAATAGATCTATAATATGCTAAATAAAGAAACGATAGTAATAAGGAATTCATTAGATTATTAGCTCAATTAATTCAATTAATGTATTTCATTTTCTACTTCAACCATAGGTGGTCGAAACCAAGTGAAATTTTTGAAAGATTGAACCCAATAAGTTATAATTTAAGAGATCGAAATGACGTCGTTTAATTGAATTATCATTCTTAGTTTAACGCAAATTGGTAATTTTATAAGCTTATACACTCAGCTCGAATTTTGATCCAACGCGACATGTTTTAAAGTTCACACCTATTCTGATTTCACACACAACATATTTGTGTGAACTTTCTAAGTTTTCGTTTGCTTGAATCTTGTAAAATGCGAATTTAAAATCATTGATAATCAACCTTCACCGGCCAATCTGTAATTGTCTTCATTCAGGCTCAAAGTTCTATCATCGGCCCATATCATTATTTTTAATTGTCTAATTTGGTATTGATGCATACTATTTGTGATTTATTCTGGTATTGATACATACTATTTGTGATTTATTATATATGTTTCTTGTAAGGCACTTTCCTGGTTTATTTTCTATAAACTACTATAAACCACCACTTTTAAACAGAAGAATGAACTTTCAATACTATATATACTATAACCGTTGAATGAGAGAGCAGAATAAAGGGGGTCCGTATTATTTCACCGACAATCACTTTATCGATAAGTGACATTACATGCATGATAATTTACTAATAAAATGTTAAGTTTCACCCTAAGCCCGTTCAAAGTTGATTAGTTGAAAAGCCAATCACAGAACAGCAAAAATTTCATTAATCATGTGATTAAAATTGGCCAATGAAATTTAATCTGTTTGTTTAAACCTCCCTCACGTCTAGACTCAAAATGTTGACACTAACTAATCAACTTCTGCACTTTGAGCGGCTTAAAAAAAATTTTTTTAAATGTGGTTTGCTTACACATATTTACAATTCATTAAATTTTATTTTTAATGAGTTTTATTGACTAAATTTGTTAAATTCAGCACTATACATGAGGAGAATAACAAATAAATACACGTCACTTGGTTAATAAACATTTTAAAATAATTGATCATATCGATGCTTAATATATTGAAATTAAAATTTTGGTATATTACCAGCCTATAACTGTTATGTAAAAATCCTCTTTTTAAAAATAAAACTTTCATATTTTAAGCTAAATATCATAAATCAATAATTTGAGTTCATTTTCCAAATGCAAAACCTAAAGAATCTAAATCAAGACTACCGAAATCTCATTATAAATCTAAATTAAACATCACGATGCACACCCATATCCATCATAGCTGAATCGTAAAGTAAGGCTTTCCCTCAGCAAGGCCAATCACAACTTCTAATTACATAACTATTTGTCTAACTCAAAATATTCTCTAGTAGAATTTTTTAAAATATGTATATCAGAAATTTCTTTACCGGAACGTGATTTTCCTGATTTTACGATAATTGGTGGTACAAGTGTATATGAATTGATTTCTCCTGATTGAATAATATTAACTAATTCTACATCAAGTGGTTCAAGCGGTGATTTTATAGAGTTTCCAAGTTTTTCTAATAACTTAACAGCACCAGCATGTGATACTGCATAAGCAAATGTGCAATACGGCTTCTCAGATTTAAATAACTTATAAGCAAATTGATTATTATTGTTACCTGGTAAAGGCTCACCAGATTTACCTTCATAATTATTACAATAACCAAGATATATAATGTCCCAATCTGTTGGTAAAATTCGATGTATATCGACCATAATTGATGTGATTCTAAGTTCAATGTCCATATCACCTTCTAAAATCAATGCACTACCATGTCCATTATTAATAATCGATTCATAAATTTTATAATGACTTAAATAAGAAATTTTTTGTGACTCTTGTAATTTACTATTTTGATTAGAATCAATTTCATTTGAGGAAATAGCATCAAAATTAGTAAAAAGTATGCATAATTTATCTGACATTTTTGCCAATTTTTCAGTGATCTTGTTATAATCCGGTTCATTCTGATATTTAATAAGGTAAATCGTATTAAACCCAAGAGTATGATTGGTTTCTTTAATAAGTCTAAAATGTCCTAAAGTAGAATGCTGTAAAGGAATGAAATAATGATATCCATATTCAGGAGAAATACTCGATGGATTAATTGAAGAACGCCATTGTACCATTGCCAACGGTACAAGTGAATAAGAGTTAATATATCCTGAGTTAGCTAAATTAACAATATGCTGATCAATTGTATCAGGTATTGGGTTAAGTCTTTTTACTAATTTGAGTATACCAGCACGCGAAACAGCGTAACCATGAAGACAGTATGGTATATGAGATTTATGTATTTTGTAAGGTGATGAATTACTTTCACCTACTAATTGACCCCATCCTTCAACATAACTACAATAACCAAGAAAAAAGATATCCCAATCGGAAGGCAAAATTCTATATGATTCTAATATAACTGATGCGATATTAAGTTCGAAATCTACATCATCCTCTAATATCAAAGCGCTATCATATCCACGTTGAATTATTGA